GTCATGCACTAATGTAGGCCTGGAATAAGCCTGGCCATTTCCTTGCCAAGGGCATGTGTCACTCCATTTTTACGTGGTATTTTACAACATTGCCTAGTTAGAGACTTTATATGGTGAATGAGGTATGGATGAGAGTCTGCACAACAGTTCATTGTGGTGCAGTCCTAAACAGGACTAATCCACTGTTCTAGAAAAGTTGGTTTTAGAAGTTCTTGAGAATCCCTAAGATAGCAGGCATGAAGAGCACTGCAGGGTACAAACATGATTCAAGGACTGGGAATAAACCTTATAATTAAAAGGAAGTGCTATGAAAAGGTCCCTTTCACACTGTCCTCTGACAAAACAGTGCATATAATTTCAAGGTGAAGTAGACAGAAAGTCCAGAATGCATGGATAGCATTAAATTATAACAAGATGTAAGGCCTGCCTCATTAGGATCTCTTAAGTTTATACCTCTGTCTTAAGGAAGTCCACTGGGGACAGAAATGTGGGTCTGTGTGGATCAGTTTTCAGCTCCTAGCAGACAGGCGCTCTTCTCCTCTTCTTGTCAACATTTTTTTCTTTACCTGTTCTCTGCACGCTCCTCTAGCCCTCCTTCCCCTGGCCTGCTCCGTGGCATCCTTACTTTCTCCCTTCCCTAAACCCTGAGTTTCTTCTATTGAAAGAAATCTTTCAACCATCCATGCTCCTAAGCTGCCCTTTCTGTCACAGTGCCTGGAACATAGCAGATGCTCAGGAAGTATTTGTTGAACAGAGAACTGAATCCTCTTGTACTTCCTCAGAGCACATAGTTACTGCCAGCCTCCACCTTTTCCCATCCTTTTTGTCCTGTTTTTGTAGCCTGTCCCCAGCCTGTCTCCCTAAAAATACACTCTGAGGTCAGACACTACCTGAGACTGCCCTCCCTCCAGGGTCTCCATCCCCCTTTCTGTGTCTCCATGGCACAGAGCACTGGCTCCCTTTTCCTCTCTTGGCTGTATGGCCGTGCATTTCTCCCTAGGCTCCTTCTATATTATGTCATTATTTAGGAATCAGAAGTCCTTTTTTTTTTTCTCTTTTAATCAGAATGCTCTTTTTCTTCCCTTTTGCCTCCCAAATGGAGCACATGCTTTTCCAAGGTTCTCACTAGGCTTCATGCCTTTTGCAGATTCTTCTATGCCAGTGGCTTCAGTGGGGTCAGCTATAAAGTAACTTTCAAATTCACACTATCAGTCTCAGTAGCATTTCTGAACTCCAGTGCCATAGTTCAGATATCTACTGATGCTCTCCATGTAGATTGTTAGTAAAGATAAAAATAATTTATTCTACATTTCCAAAATAGCTCATTACCTGACTCCTCAAACAAATTCATTTATTTATTTTTAAACAAATTTATTTTCTTGTTGTCACTGTTTCCGCTTATTACTCCCCTATACTCCCAGATAGTAAGTCTCAAAATGTTGGCGTCATCTTTGAGTCCTTCCTTTTCAGCCACCTGTAACTTACTGACCTTTCTCTCATTCAGGCCCTGAGTACCTGCCTCCTGGTACCTCATTGCTCCTCCATTCTGTCCCCACTAACCCACTGAACCACCCACCTCCACTACCCTGATCTACCCTACGTGTTATTACATTTCCTAAGTCATTTCTCTGACTTTAGCACCACCTGCACAGAGAAAGTCATGGACTCTTTGTTGATCACTTAATCAAGAACATGGAACTAATATTTTTGAGCCTTTATCATGTGACAGGCCTGTGAGGTCTGACTTACTACCTCTGTTTTATCAGGGAGGGAACTCGGGCTCAGAGAGGTAGAATAACATATACATGGTCACATAAAGAGTTGGTAGAAACATTGGGACTTTACTACCACTTTCTGGCTTTATGCAGTACAGGGCCTAAGTTTAAATCATTTAGCCAGGTGTCTGGGAGTCATGCCACGTGGCCCACTGGCCCCCTGCATGATCCTCAGCCCATGACCAGGTGATATCTAAAACTCTTTTGAGCTCTCACTGAGACACTGATTCCCGATAGCTCTTCACTGATTTCCTTCTCTGATCTTCCATTGCACTATCTTTGTGGAGGTCACCAAATTTACACCCTACTCTCTAAGTTCCATGTTCATCCACCAAAACTCAATTCACAGAACTTCTCTTTCCTTCCTGCTTCCAAAGCAATTTCTCCATCCTGTGAATCCTCACCAGACTTAAAGTCTCTTGTGGTTACAATGTATGTTCCCCTGGTCCTTCAAACAGATCAGTTCCTCTTTTGAAGCATTTCCATAGCATCCTTTCACAACCCCTTCCCCAAGTTATATTACTTTTATAATTAAATGTTCAACTTCTGTCTCCAACTAGAATCTAAGTTCCCTGAGGGCAGGGGTTGGTCTGTCTTGTTCATAAGTGTTTACACATATTTACCTAAGTGCCTGGCACATAGTAGATATGCAATAAAATGCATTAAATAAGTAACCTAATGCCTTGCTATTTCTCTCAGACTTTAGGTGAATTGCAGGACAAATGGCCACATCTGTGTTTTCCCTGTGTCCCCTGCAGCATTTAGCTCATCTGCATTGTGCTCAGACTTAGAAACTCAATAAGTTTTTGTAAAATACACTAAACAGAGTCCTTAATAGTCTTCCTGCATCTTGGTATAAGACTGAGGGTATCAGGGGTGCCTGGGTGGATTATTCGGTTGAGTGTCTAACTTCAGCTCAGGTCATGATCTCACATTCATGAGTTCTCACAGTTCTTAAGTTTGAGCCCCACATGGGGTTCCCTGCTGTCAGCACAGAGCCTGCTTAGGATCCTCTGTCCACTTTTCTCTCTGCCCCTCTCCCGCTCACATGCGTGTGTTCTCTCTTTCTCTCTCAAAAATGAATAAACATTTATAAAAAAACAAAAAACTGAGGGTATCAGAGCTAACATTGGTTTTACTAGAATCTTCTCCATTCTCCCCTAAGGTTAGGGAGTCGTGGGGAAGCCCTTGAAGCCCCTCCAGTCTCTGCTCTCAGGCAACATTTAAGAGCTCCTGAGGGTGAGGAGGACTCAGAACAGATATTATTGTCAGTGCCATTCTGTCAAGAGCCCTCTTTTGGCATCTGGCTAAATCTGACAATTCTCTTTTTTCTTGCCTCCAAGCCGCAATCTCTTTACCGTCACCATGCTCTCGCCACTGCCTTGCTTCTAAAATTTCAGGGCTCTCGCCCTCTCCTCTAGCTGCCTTCTCTACTTATAGTTCTAAGCACCTTCATGTGCCCACAGGCAGTTCTGGGATCTGTCCCCCACCCAGCCCTGCAGGGCAACACCTTCTTCCCATAAGAGTTCTGCCTGCAGCCCATGGAGGGTGCTCTCGGGGAATGTGTCCTGCTGTCCTGAGCATAGCTGCTGGAATCCCTGTGTCCTTCCTGTCTGCCTCCCCTGGCCCTCTGCCACACTCCTCTCAGGGCATCTGTCTCCTGCTGTCAAAAATATTGGTAATTATTTAGGTGAAGGTTGAGAGATGGACAAAGTAAAAAATGTTATTAGTTGCCCCGAGAGAGCCTAATAAAGCGAATTTCATGAGGTATGACAGCTTTCTAAAGTTACTGAACCATTTGGCATTTCCTGACACAGAGCCAGAGCTGGCCAGGGCCCATCCCCATGAAGGCCCACTTGGGATTGATCTTCCCTTCAGACCTACTTGCCACTTTCACTGTTTCTCCACTTGTGAAAACAGTGCAAAGTCAGCTTCCTCCTAAATGATACATTTGACTCCTTTTATAGTGAAGATTCTGTCTCCCCTCCCCTCCACCCCAGTATCCTATTTAGAATTTTATTATACTGTAGAATGTCTCCATTGCACTCAGAAGGGTAGAAAGTGCCAAAATAAAAACATATCTCTGTTTGAATAGCCCACTTTTTCAATGTATCCTGGGGAAACAGTAGGAAGTAGATCAACAATTCATTGGACAGCAGATACTTTAACTGGAAACCTTCACATAATGTACAGAGACGAGACACAATCCCAGTGTAGGTTTCTAACCTATAAGCATGGCCTGGCCTGTGTTCCATCAGGTGCCCTACTACCCATGCTCAACACCACTGGCCAGTTTAGGGTCCTTGGGGCACAGGGATCTTGACCCATAACATGGCCCATAATGGCCCTGGGTAGGTCTGCTCTGGAGCTTTTAGATTTAGGGACTGCACCTCTTGGCCTCTGCCAGGTGTGCTTCACTTTCCCCAGGTTTCAGGGAGCGTGACCTGTGTGGCTGCATCTCAGGAGTACGGGAACTAGAATGTAATACAACCCCTGCGACCCATTGTAAACAAGTGTTATTTAAGTAGCTTCACCAAGTATCACACTACCGGTAGTGTTATCTTCTCACACGCTGGTGTGAATCTCTGAGCAGCCACGTAAATAAACAATAGGAGGGTGACCAGAGCACTTGACCTCTCGTGAACTCCTGCTGTGTGTTGGGCACTAGGGGGAATACGTGGCATATCTAGCCTGCCTGCTCCCCACAGCAATCCTGTGTCCTAGATGCTTCTACCCCCATTTTGCAGATGAGGAGATTGAGGCTTAGAGAGACTAAATAATTTGTCCAAGGCACACAGCTAGGAAGTGGCAGGGCTAAGAGTTCAATTAAAGCCAGACTGATTCTAAAATGAAAATACCAAACCTTGGAGCAGCTGTGTCATTCTGGGGTTCCAGGAGACTCTCAGACTTGAGAGGTTCTGATATCTGATGTTAGCTCTGTTCCCCTGAAGGTAATGTAAATAATACATGGCTTCTTCCCATATCACCTTCTTTACTTATTAAATGGGCACATTCAAAAACCATATTCCCATATTCTGCTACAGCTGCCACCCACTGCTACCACCTCCATTGCTCCCTGGGAATGCTGCTGGTTCCTGAGCAGATTGGAAGCACTTTGTCTCATCCAATAGCTTTTTTCCTGAAGACGCAATACTTTAATGATGGCAAACATAATAACCCATGACTAAAGATATTTGTCCAATCTAAATTTTGTTTTACTTGCAGAGAATGGCAAATCTGTTCATTGGAAACTGGGAGCCGATAAGGAAGTCTGGGTCTGGGTGATGGGTGAACACCATCTAGATAAACCCTACGATGTTCTCTGTAATGAAATTATTGCTGAGAGGGCCCAGCTGAAAGCAGAGCAGGAAGCGGAAGAGCTCAGGTATGAGATCTACAAACCAGTGAGAGGCTGGCCAGATTATACAGTCATGCAAAGATGCCTCTTCTTCACAGTAGCTGGAGGGAGAGTGGGGTGGGCAGAGTCACAAGAGTAACTTTAGATCTGTCGGGCAAGTTTCTTTAGACTTTTGGTGGTTCCCTTTATTCCCACAATGTGATCAAATCAGCTGTTTCATTTCCTTGCTTGTCACCCCGGGTTTGATCTGGATGTGGTTTCCCCAGGAATCACTGGCTTCACTAGAACCATGCTGGAGCACCAAAGGCTGACACAGCTGAGCATCAGGAATAGAAATAAGAAATGCAGTGACAGTTCAAGCTTCAGGACTTCAAACAAGATTGCTTAGATATAGGTAGCTGAGTAAGCAGGCCTTTTAGGGCCTGTGCTAGGTGGTGGGGATTCAAAAATGAACAAGGAGCTTCCAGTCTAGGAGGAGAAACAGGTACACCACTAACTTCAGCTGATATAGGTTGTGATATGTGCTATAAGTAAGTTATTAACAAAGCATTAACTGGACCTATGATTCCTACCCACAAAATAGGTGAAATCTGAATTGAACCTTAAAAGATAAGTAGAGTTTTTCAGTGCAGAATGTCAGGAAGGAGACTGCAGGCAGAGGGCATAATCAAGATCCTTAGTCTTGAATATGTAAGGTTCTTTGGGTGATGATGAGTTCTTCTGAGTGTTTGGGGTATATGTGGGCAAATAGCGGGAGACAGGGCCATGTGCTAAAGTGCTTTGAAAGCCAGATTTAGGACTTTGGACCTTATCCTGTGGATGGTGGCAGTTTTTGAATCAGGAAGAGACATGATCAGCTGGAGATCTAGGAAGGTAACTTGAGTGGTAGCAGTGAGGCAGATGATTGATCCCCTCTGCAGGGTGCCCAGGGTGACTTCTGTGAAGCCTGTTATCCCTTGCTGAGATAGAAGCAGACATACGGACCTCAGTTCAGTTCCCAAGGGCTGGTGATGCTACCCACAGCTCCTGTAACTAACGTATAAATGAGCATGCAGAGATAAACTAATTATTTGCTGCTTATCAGAGGAAGGCAGTGTGCTCTAGCAGTTTAGCTTCTGAACAGGAATTGGGCAGACCCGGGTTCAAATCCTGCCTGTGCCACTATGTAGCCTTGGATAAATAAAATAATTATTTTGAGCCATTTTGAGTTAAGCAAGGATAACAACCCCTTTCTTGAGGGCTGTTATGAGGATTAAGTTAATGTCTTTAAAATACTAGCAAAGGGCTCAGCCTATTCACTCGGTAAATGGTATCTATTACTGTTTTTCACATAATTTGAATGTAGGCATCTGCTTTGGAAAAGCTATCCATGTTGGAGAGTGTTTTTGATAATTCCACATTTGTTTCTCTTCAGAAAGACTCAGTCCAAAGAATTTGCCAATAGCTTGAAAACGAGATCACAGTACTATGATCTGCAAGCACCAGATACCCTGGAGTCTCAGAATATCTGTAAGAAAGCAGCGGAAGAGGAGGAGCTGGGGAAAGGCTCTAGACTGGCACCACCCCTTGAAGAAGAGAAAATTCCAGTGAGTCTTTCATATCTGTAAACATGCAGAATTTCATAACCAGGGAAGTGAAAGATATTGGGGCCACTGAGATGAATGTAGTTGAACATCAGGCTCTCAGACTTTTCTGGGAAAAATCCCTCCCAACTGGAAGGCCCTGATGTTCAATTTGACTCTCCTGCTATTTCACAACAAAGGTAAAGCACCCCTTTTTCATGGACTGAAGTTGTGAAGAAGGAACTCTAGGAATAAAATTTTGCATTTTAAGGTATTTTGGGGGTTTATTTTTTCCCTATTATATGTCTTCTATAACGGGGATTGGCAACTTTTTTGTGTGTGAAGGGCCAGATGGTAGATACTTGAGGCTTGTGGACCGTACGGTCTCCGTCACAACTGTATATAATATAATAGATGTGGCTCTGTTCCAGTAAAACCTTACTTACCTAACAGCGCCAGGTCTGGCATACAGGCTGTGGCTGACTGATTCCAGTCCTAGAACGCTGGCACATTTGTGATGTAGATTATTCTGTATCAAGTCTTCCCCTTTTGGTGGAGGACTACACCTCAGTGCCTCACTGGCTTCCCAGGTTCTGCTTGTGACTGTGGGGACTGCTATTTCCTCAACAGAATTTTATAATCAGAATTGTTCTGAATTCTCTTGTGTCTCAGTGGGTTCAAAAAGCTCAGACATCATTTGCTACTTAGGTTATAGTTTGGAAGAACAATAAAATGATATTATGAAGTACCTTCTTCTGCCAGGAATTTAATTAAACTGAGAATTAACAAGGGATCTACAATTGTTTGACTTCTGATCAGGTCCCCAGTTCTAGGACACTAGTTTTGTGTGTTCTTGACCTCTTTGAGCTGTCACTCATGACAGATCCCCTCTGCTGGGTGCCACATGGTGACAAAGCACACTGCTGAGCATCTCATTTAATCCTCAGAATGACATTATGACCTGGGAACTGTTTCTGTATTTGTCCATTTTACAAGTGAGGAAACTGAGGTTAGATATGGCTATTCAATCTGCCCGAGGTCTCATAGTTGATAAGACTGAACCGGGATTCAAACAGAGGTCTGCACGACTCCTAGGTCATTCCTTAACTCTTGTGCTTGATTGTCTTATTAATATGAGGAAGGTGAAGAAACTTTAAAAACGCCTATAAATATGAGGCTCAAAATATTTAGGGGTATAAAATTCTAAAATTGGGTTTATATCCCAGGGTCATCCCTGGGTCCTCTCCTCACATCTACAGTGAAACATTCAAGCTCTTCCAGGCCTGCTTTGCACTTCACATTTAATACCAATCTACCTCCAAACAGCATATTCCCTTTCTAGCACCCCTAAAATGAAGAACAACAATAGCAACAACAAAAAAAAACCTCCTTCAAGAGCATTAAGTAAGCATGCTTACCTTTGTGATTGAATCACAATACTGTCCTAGAAAAAAACATTTTCAAAAGTAGGACAAAAGATTAAAATAGAAGTTAAAATAAATACCATGGCTGTTATTTTTATACACACACATATGTAATACACACACACACACACACACACACACATGCATACACACACACAAACACACAGTGAGAGAAGATCTCAAGATTGACTGATTTACTCATTCTTTTAAAAAGTACCCATTATGTGCTAGGCCTTGAGTTTGCAATGTAGGAGTAAGAACAGAATCACTGCTGAACTTCAGAATGAAGTTGAATGAATGAACTGCTGAGTGAACTTTATAGTTGAGGAAGCAGAGAGACTTCATGTAACACATCCTTTCAAAAGATAATAAGTGATCCCAAGAAAAGGATATGTTTCTGTGCACCCTCATTACACTAGAACTTGAGCAGTAGCAGGAAGTGCAGGGTGGCTTTGCAGAGGACATGGAGCTGGAGATGATGACTGAGGATGGCTGGGGCTGGTGGTTCCAGCTAAGGGACAGCATGGATGAAGGCTGCCTAGCTGGGGGAAGGGGGGGGTGGGCTTTGGAGAAACCAAAGAAGGCTGTGTGGCTGGAGTGCAGAAGGGACACAGAAGAACATATGACTGAGTGACAGGGTGAGCAAGGCCAGGCAGGACAGGGTCTCTGAGACAACTTTATGTTTTGACCCCTTTTTCAAGAACAATTGAATAGTGTCAAAGATTTTTGAAATATTATATTTTGAAGGGCTCATTCATGGATCTGAGTAGGTGGGGAAGGGGCAAGCTTTCTAACACAACCCAAGTTTCTAAGATCAGATGCCTGAGATGACGGAGGTTTTATCAGCATAAACACGAACATGTGGAGGAGAAGCTGGTTTTAAAAGAAAAGAAGAGTCTAGTTTAGAGATATCAAGGATTTCACATTCCACTTGAGGCAGTAGCAATAGATAGAAGTTGATTTTATACATAATAATAAAGGATATATAATTTGACTTGGAGTTTGCAAAGCTTTCTCTCATGTAGTCATTTCATTTCACAATACTCCTGTGAGGTAGACAATGCAAGTATTTCTTTTGTACAGATGAAGAGACTAATGCTCAAAGAAATTAAGTGGTTTGCCCCTAAATCACAGAAAGCTCTTGTTTTTGTTTATCTACTTTAATCCTCATCACAAAGTATTTAAAACAGAATTCATCATCTTCCCCAGATCTGCTCCTTCAGACAAAAACTCTGGTGGGAAACCAAGGCTAGAGCTTTGGGAGTCATCCAATATGTTTCCAAAATGCAATTCAGGTTTGCACAGTTAAGATTTCCACATTTCATCCATAATTTATTTTAACTATAATATCTAGAAGGATATTGTCATGTCTGTAAACTTTCATCATCTACACACAGCCTACAATGTATTATAAAAAGAAAAATTATCAAGCAAATTTTATTGAAGTTAGTGATCATGAAGCTTATCTGAATAATCATGGACAGGTTTAAAGAGCAGTCAGTCTTCTAGAATTATAAACAGTATTCAAGGAAAACCAATTATAGATTTACTAAAGTAAAATGGCCTTGTTAGATTTGTAATACATTTCCATGGGACATCTCATCATCAGAGAACTCCGGACCTAATCTGAAAGCACCTCTTACTGGTCTTATCTAAACTCTCTGGAGGGCTGTGGAAAGTGGGAGAAAGTTAAATTCAACCTACATATTGATGTGCATTCAGCACTGTAGAAGCTCTTGTATAGAATCATATACTTATGGGAAGTAGTTCTTTTGGTTAATAGTGACCCCTTACATTTGTACTGAGGCATTTGATTAGACTGTATTTCTGCATTTGTATCAGCCAGAGTTTTTCAACTCTGCTTTGATTATCTTATGAAAGGGTCAAGGTGAACATGTCATCAGGGACCCAAGTCCTCTGTAGGAATTGGGCTAAATTCCACACTCATTCCTTCATTATCCTCCCTGTTTACCCAGTAATATTTTGAATAAGATGAAATCAGCCTACACAAATGCCACAGCCAGTTTCAATGGAAGAAAATAGTGCATCTTAAGATCATCGCTGGTTGCCTAGGAGAGTCTTTGGCAAAACAGGCAGATTTTCCTTAGTACTAGTAATTAGGGTGTTAGTGGTTGAGGTGAGGAATCTGACATTTAAAATGTGTGCAGCTTGTACAGCTGTCAAAAGACTTAGATTCGCTATTTCACTCCATCCTCACAACAAATGTAGGTATGAAACAGGTTCTTCTCTGAGTGGATGAACCGAGGGCAGTGGTCTGCACAAATCCTGATTAGAGGTAGGGCTGGGGCCATAAACCAGGTCCTCTAACTCAGGGCTAGAGCTCCAGCTATCCCATCATGCCCCAGGGAAGGTATTCACATCTGTGTCATCGTAATGATCATGCTGTTGGGATTAGAGTTTTTGGTGTTTTTCCCCTAAAGCAGGAATGCTTTAGACCCACATGTTGTCAGCTTTAAAATTAAACCGAAAATCTTTTTCTATAAGAAAACATGGAGGAAGAGGAAGGACTGAGGAAGTAGTAGAGAAACAAACACAATTAAATCGAACTGCCCGGAAACCCTGCGACAGTCTAATTGATGGCAGTGGTGTTTTCCAGAGTTCACTTCTCTACATGCTTGCTTCTCTCTCAGCTGTTTCTCAGATTTTCAGAGTGGCATCTCTGCCCTACACTGTGACAACATCGAGTCTGTGGGGCAGGGTTTATCACTAGGCAAATTTGCTGGCTAGGCAAATCTCCCAATCTTTTGGAGCCTCTGTTTTCTCAACTATAAAAACTGGGGATTAAAAATAACCTGCCTTGTTTATCTCATGTTTTTTTTGTGTGTGAAAATTACATGAAATAATTGGGAATTCTTGAAAATTTTAAAATCCCAGTACAAATCCAAGGGGTTGTTTGAACTAGACATACTCTAAACTTTGCCCCTGCTGTAAGAGTGTCCTTTGTGCCGGCTGCATGGGTGAAGACCTTGCATGATTTGGCTGGATTGATTGAATCAGTGTTTTTCTTAACGAATACTTACCAAGGGTCCAATACATGTACTGATGGATATTATGGAGCCACAAAGGAGGCACAGGACAAGGTCTTCATCCTTCAGGAATTAGAGGAAAGATTAGAAGCACTTAGTACTAAGGAAGGACATAATCAAGTTCCAGCTGGGTAGAAGGTCAGGGCTTGACTGGTTTGTAGAAGGCAGGGATGGGGGTAGGCCTGATGTCATGGGGATATGCAGAATGTCTGTGGTGAGAAAATGGAAAGCATCATTTGTGGGGATACAGGGAGGAGGGCAGTCTGCCTGGGATAAAGTACTTTGGCTGGGACTTGGAAGGTGCATTTGAGGTGCTGATAGGCCATATTATGGAAGAGGAATCAGGCTTTTTTTGTGTTCATTTTCTATTGCTGCCATAGTAAATTACTGTAAACCAAATGGCTTAAAATAATACCTGTTTGTTATATGACAGCTCTTGTGGTCAGAATTCCAACATGGCTTGGTTAGGTCCTTTGCTGAGGGTCTCAAAAGGCAGAAATCAAGGTTTTGGCTGACATGGGTTCTTATCTGGAAGCTTTAGGAAGAATCCCTT